TGGGGGCTTTTTCCCTCCCTGCACCCCGGTCTTACTGCATTTGCCTTCCATGCACCACGATCCGGGCCTGTTCCACCTCCTGCACCCTGCTCCAGGTGCATCTCGTATTGCTGCACCCCGGCACCATTGCATCTCCTCTCCTGCACCCCAATCCGGCTGCAGTTCCCCTCCTGCACCCCAATCCAGCTGCAGTTCCCCTCCTGCACCCCAATCCAGCTGTATTTCCCCTCCTGCACCCCAATCCAGCTGCAGTTCCCCTCCTGCACCCCAATCCAGCTGCATTTCTCCTCCTACACCCCAATCCAGCTGCCGCTCCCCTCTTGCACCCCAATCCAGCTGCAGTTCCCCTCCTGCACCCCAATCCAGCTGTATTTCCCCTCCTGCACCCCAATCCAGTTGCAGTTCCCCTCCTACACCCCAATCCAGCTGCATTTCCCCTCTTGCACCCCAATCCAGCTGCAGTTTACCTCCCTGCACCCCAGTCCAGCTGCAGTTCCCCTCCTGCACCCCAGTCCAGCTGCATTTCTTGTCAGGGTGCCTCAGTCCCAACGTGTCTCCCTTCTGTGCACCTCAATGTCACCCCGTCCCCTCTGCAGCCTGGCTGTGTTTTCCCCTTTCCCTTGTGCACCCCAGGCTGAACTTGGCATTTTGGGCAGAAGCCAGCGTTGCCAAAGGGCACGTTCCCTTCAGCGTTAAGCAGTTTGGGAGCAGGAGCTGGGTATTTTCCCTTTTTTTTAGGGATTTTTCACTTTTGTTTTCTCTGTGTCTCTTCCCTTTCTGTGTGTACCCAGGTTTACGCATCCATGAATACTTGTATTTCCAAGTGCTGAGCCCTGGAGACATCCGATACATCTTCACTGCCACCCCGGCCAAGGATTTTGGTGGCGTGTTTGTAAGTATTAAGAACTGGATATGCCAGTTTGGGTCCTTCCATCCTAATATTGTGAGTCCAGGTGATCTGAAGCCTTTTATAAAAATCGAGTTAATTGCTCTTCCATGAGCCTTCCCCCTTAGGAAGGAGGCACACGTTGGTCCCTGCCTTTGACCTCATCAGGCTTTCAAAGTTTGGCCCTGCATGTTCAGGGGAGCATGTACCCCACTCTTTC